TGGCTGCAAAGAAGTTTTGGAAAAGCTTCAAAAATCACCAAAGTCTTTAAAAACCTCAAAAAGGCTACTATGTACACTGCGTTCTATGAGTTGCTCCTCGAAGTCAAGTCGCAACTGTATTAATGGTGTTAAGAAAAGGAAACAAACTTGCAAGACGTTTTCGTCTTGCGAAGCAAGCCCATAGGGAAATTCGTCTTGCGAAGCAGCTCAAAAACGGAAAACCCTTTCGTCTAGCGAGTTTTCCGTCTTGCGAGGCATTCGTCTTGCGGGGCACCACTGTAGAGAAATAGGTAGCACTCCGGTGGGAAGGTAAATGGCGTTTCCATGCACTGCTCTGGTTCGCCAGAAGCGGCTTAGTCATGCTGGCCACATGACCCGGAAGCTGTAAGCCAGCTCCCTCAGCCAATAAAGTGAGATGAGCGCCGCAACCCCAGAGTCAGCCACGACTGGACCTAATGGTCAGGGGTCCCTTTACCTTTACCCTAAATAATAACAAAACAAAACCAGAAGCTGCATATTTCAAAACCTTAAGATGCACCAAATCCTGTAAGTGAATGACTAAAAAACCTCGGATTCCTTAAAAGCTTAAATAAACTATGGATTTAACTGTTGCAGAAAGACTATGAAGGAAGTGCTGAATGAATGGGGCAGAGGGAGGGTGCTCCTCAGTTATGGTGCCCCAACCAAAAAGGCCCTGACTTCTGTTGCTACTGGGCTGCCAGACCTCCGTTCTGACCCCACGTTTGCCTGCCCTACTCCAGGTGCCAAGTAAAAGGCTTGTGCATGTTCAAGCAAGTTAGAGGCATTACAAAATAAAAATTTCATTAAGAAGACAGTGCATGCAACTTACAAGCTTCAGCCAAGCAGGAACAATTAAGCCCTTCTGGCTGGAAGAAAGTTGGCTAAGCAGGTGAGAAGGAAGAGGAGACTCTTGAGAGTCCCATGGACTGCAAGAAGATCAAAGCTATCCATTCTTAAGGAAATCAGCCCTGAGTGCTCACTGGAAGGACAGATTGTGAAGCTGAGGCTCCAATACTTTGGCCACCTCATGAGAAGAGAAGACTCCTTGGAAAAGACCCTGATGTTGGGAAAGATGGAGGGCACAAGGAGAAGGGGACGACAGAGGATGAGATGGTTGGACAGTGTTCTCGAAGCTACTAACGTGAGTTTGACCAAACTGTGGGAGGCAGTGGAAGACAGGAGTGCCTGGCGTGCTCTGGTCCATGGGGTCACAAAGAGTCGGACACGACTAAATGACTAAACAACAACAAAGCTGAGGAACCTCCTGGCCATAGAGCATCACAGGCCAAATAAGCAGCTTATTTATAGCTTGTAAAAATGTTTTTCTGTCCTTTTAACACCCTATAAACTGGATTTACCTACATGAATTCAAATTGACCCTTTTATTATAATTCAGTAGCTTTGGTCGTCTCATACTAAGTCCACCCAAGCCCAAGCCCATTTTTGTAAACATGTCACTAAAATGTTTGACAAAGAATCAAGGTGTGTGTGTGTGTATTAGTTTTCCAAATTTTAACAAATCCATCCAAATTATTTAAATTTAATACAATTAAAAAATTAGGTTTTCCACCCCCGTTACAAGCATATGTCCATTACATTCCTGAAGTTACAGCTTCATTCTTCTTCTTTAATCACCTTCTCAACCTTCTACTAATTTTAATCAATTTTCATAGCCAGCCGATCTTGTTACCTCGCAATCAGCACCACTGTTGTTTCCAAAACATATAAAAAATAATCAAGGTTTTAATAAGGTGGATTGCAGCTACCTGTTTAAATCCTGCAGTGATGGCAGCTAATTGAATTTCGTTTGCAGGTTCCATGACAGCTCAGAAAACCACTGAGAATTAAGCAGGAAATTAAGAGGAATAACTCTGCTGTCTGCTCCCAAAGTTTATCACACACAAACACTGATTTTTAGTTCCAAAATCTTCTCTGACCAAGCAGGGCTTTCAAAATATCGCAGAAACTGTAGTGGAATAAGTGTTGGGTCTCCTTTTAAGACGATTAGCAGAATCTTTTGCACAAGAATAAATGTGCTGTCACAATAACAGAATCAGAGAGCGAAAAACTGTCAGGTTTTTAAATTTCCAAATAGCAGCAGCTCATAGGCTTTTGATATGCTGCACTTTGGCTATGGAGCTTTCTCCCTCCTGAGACCCAGTTGCCCCCATAGTTGGCCATCTTTCAATGCCAATTAAAAACACTATTATTCCCCCAGGCTTTTTCTGCAGATTGATTTGTTACAAGCTGTATACCCTGGCTGCAGTTTTGGTCGGAGACGGACTGATGTTGAATGATTGAACTGGCTACTTTTATTGGATTCCCCCCCAACCCCAATTTTAATTCCCGTTGTTTTATGCATCTTACCATTTTGCAACCCAACCGATCACAGGCAGGGTAATAATTAATTAATTAATATCAGAATAGAGGGGGAAAGGTGATCCTTTCCTTCCTGGCTGCAGTTCTGAGGAACATCCCTTCTCTGAAGCTGCTGTTTGTTTTGGGGAGAAATTCCCCATCGACAATGTGATAGGAATTTTGAGGTCTTAGATATATGGAAATGTTCATAAATGTACTAACCGAGCACGTACATAGATCAGCACAGGAAGACCAACCTGGAACCATTTTGATTCCCAAACTGACCAAATGTTTTCTCTGCAAGGTGAAAGTGGGAAACCTCCCCATTGTCTCTTTCCTCACAAATCCTGTCTTAAGGACGCATTTAAGATATGAATAGGGTGTGAGCCTGTGACCTGGCCCAGGAACTAAGTATTTATCATTACAAAAGACTGGCCAGGCTACCCAGGCAATCCAATCAAATAACCTGCCAGACAGGAGACAAACAACGACAGGAGAAAAACAACATTCAAACTTCTGTTTAGACCGCCTTTTCTGTGATGTAAGTGTGATGTATCTGAGGGGTGGTCTTAGGTTACACCCCTTCTGTGATGTATGTATGATGTTTCTGGGGGTGGTCTTGATCTACAGGGTGGAAATTTCAAAAGTCTTTATAAGGCCTTGCACCCCATTTTTCGGGGTTCCTCCTCTCTCCTGCGGGTAAGGGGAGCACCCTGTTGCAACAGATCAATAAAGATCAAGCTTACTAGCTGCTTTGCTTCTCCGTATTCTCTGGTTGGCCTCTGTTATTTTCTCCTACCAATAGGGAACCTATGTAAGGACTCTATATGGGCTCTTGGATACCCCATAAGGGGAAAGGGCAATTTTTGTTTACAACAACATCAATAATAGCAGGGGAGGAAAGAGTTAAATTATCCCTTTGCCTCTCCTGCAGCTGAAGCTATTTGCATTTTTTTGTAACAACGCAGCTGTACAAACATACACTAATGTACATACATACATTAATGTAACGTTAATTACAAAGATGCATTTACTGTTGTGTCTAGCTTGGCCCTGTGAATGTCACACCAGGAGTCAATGGGACAAGGGGTCGGCCTTCTTTCCATTTTTACTGAATAAAAATGTTATGTACTAAACTTGGATCCTAGAACAATAGGCGAGTAGGATCCTAGAATGCAACAACCGATTGGCTTGCAGGAAAAGACCAATCAGACTCCAGGAGGAAGTTAATCAGCCTATTAGGCTGGTAGGATTGTAGAATGCAACAACTGATTGGCCTGCAGGAAAAGACCAATCAGGCTCCAGGAGGGAAGCAGAATCAGCCAATCAGACGGGACTCATGGTGTTATGTACTGAGTTGAATAGGATCCAAAATGCAGCAGTCTGATTGGTCCTAGAACAATGCAGCAGTATGATTGGTCCGCAGGACCCACCCAATCCAGCTCCAGGTGGAAGTGAATCTGCAACCTGATTGGCCCACGGGAGAATCCCGGAATTAGCCAATCACGTGCGGCCCACTGTGTAAATAATGTATATAAAGCAGATATTTTGAGGGAACTTTCATTCCTCACTGCTATGAGCTGAATAAAGAGCATGAAATCCATACTCGACTCTGAGTATATTTCACATTGTGTAAATAATGTATATAAAAGCCTGAGGTTTGGGAGGGGGTAATTCAATCACTGTTTTACAAGCTGCAATAAAGAGTACGAAATCACGACAGGACTCCGAGTATATTTCAAAAAATCTACCAAAATATTTGCCAAGCACTGGACTTCTAATGCTCCTTTGGTGGACGAGAAAGGAACCTTGATTGATTCTCTAGGTAGTTCCAATTTCCACACTGCAGTTTGGAGAATGACCAGCTTCCATAAACGTCTGAAAGGTCATATAATACTGACAAAAACAAAAATAATTGTTCCTGCAATCCAGATTTCCCAGACATACTCTGCTGTAAATCTAGGGCTACACTCGATCTTTTAAAGGGGAATTAGGATTGCTTTGAAGGTAAAACTTAATAACAGAAATATAACTAAATAGAGTAGTCCTCCATGAAGGCACTCTCCTTCCCTTATTGGGGAAAACGCTTCAGTGCTGGGCAACAAATGCAGTAACTCATCATTGAGGGAAGCCAGTGAGCTGTTCGGCTTGTTTTGGAGGCTGTTTTGTGCTTGCCTCCTGCACAAATGAGAACAAAAGTAGAATTAGTTGGTGCTGCCTATCATGGGCTCTACCTCCTAGGGCTGTCTTTACCCGGGAGTGCAAGGGATGTGGGGCACCCGGGCGCCGAATTCTGGGCGGGCGCCCACCTGTCATGAAATAATAAATAATTTTGATCAAGCTAGAAAAACAAAATAAATATATACCTAGTGTTATGTACTGAAGTTCTCACCCGGGGCCAGCAGGGGGATACTGTAGATAGTTTTCACTCAGGTCCGCATATGCAAATAAGGAATTGAAAGTGACGTTCAGTGATTGGATAGATACAGAAAGTTGTTACTGTTGCTTTGTAGTTGAGCTCTATATAAGCAGGTTGGCTGAACCCTTCAGCCCAGTTCTGTTCTGGCCTGTGAATAAACAAGAGCTGTCTGAAGAATTGTTGTGTCGTCTGATATGTTCGCCCACAACTTAACACCTAGGTATTACCGAAATGTATATCTACTGTTTCACTAAAGGAGTTTTGACTTTGTGCGCTCATTTACCAAAAACAGTGGCGCTTACGTGTTGAGGTCTCCAAGCCACCCCCCTAAATAAATCACAATTCACACCAAGATTTTTGTTTAAGGTTTTTGGCATAATTTTGGCCACAACTTTATTAAAATATATACTGGTAATGTGAGTGGTTGCATTGGTTACGGCTATCTGTCCCCGCCCAGGGACAGAACTGACATCCGCACACCTACGGAAGTCAGTAAGGGAAAACATTTCTGGAAGAGAATGGAGCTGGGCACCAGACCCTCAGCTCTCCCCGAATGCTCCCAGGGGCACTTGCACCCCATGCCAGGGGTTCAGACAAAATCATGGCAAGCCCCTGGATTCCTTTAACAAAATACCCTTGCAGCAGCAGCATTGGAGGGGCAGGCACAGCCAAATCCATACCCCTCCACCAACCAATTTTTAACCAATGCCTAACCGCAACCTTACAAGTTGTGACGATTTGCTACGCAGTAGGCAAAAACCAAATGGCAAGCCAATCAGTCAAGTGGGGAAAATTCCTACCAGGCCCCTGCCCCAAAAGCAGACGACTCCATGACAGGCATAGCAAGGTCAAACTCACAAGCCCTAGATTAGGGAGGGTGGGCGGGTGATCCGATGCACGCAGCGAAAAGGGAGGCTCAACGCTGCAATACCTTTATTCCAGCAAGGTAGCTCAGTCAATAGAAGCTCTTAATCTCAGCATCATGAGTTTGAGCCCCACATTGGGCAAAAAGATTCCTGAATCGCAGAGGGTCAGACTGATGACCCTCATGGCTGTTTTTGACTCTACAATTCTATAATTCTGTGTAACCTTTGGCCTGCCAGACTGATAACTTTCAGGTGATTAACTCTCAAACTAAAAAGGATGTTCTCTTCTCAGCCTGTCTTCATTTTCAAACACTCGTGGTTGTTTTGTTTTATTGTGTTTAGCTGTTCGATAGAGGAAAAGAAAAGGAAGAATTGCGGCTGGTGGCACCATGAAGTAATCTTCTGGGAGCACCCAGATACAGCCAGAATCATGAAGAGGCACCAACTGAATGAACCGGTGCCCTCCACGGGATGATAACAGGCATGCAGTTGGCGTGATTTATAGTTTTGTGGCGACTCTTCTTTATTTAGTGACATAATTTATTTCCCACACCTTTGACATCGATTTAGGTTTCCAGCACTGCTTTGCAGAAACAAAAACAAAAAAAAACACCTTGGACTCATTGGCAGGATTTAAATAAACATTTACAACTTTATTTACAGAGAACAAGAAATATAACAGGTGATAACAGAACATTATGTATAAACACCAGAATGTAACATTTGGTGTAACAAACCAGAAATGGAAGTGGGGGGAAGTCAACAGGGAGGGGGAAAACTGGAAAACGAATGCTAAGTGATGATATTGGATATTTGTTATGAGGAAAGAAAATCAATAAAAATTATTTTTTTAAAAAAAAAAGTTTCCACCACTGCTAAGTACAGTCATACCTCGGGATGAATACGCTTCAGCTTAAATGTTTTCGGGTTGCGCTCTGTGGCAACCCAGAAGTAATGGAGCGTGATACTTCCCGGTTTTGCCACTCGCGCATGCGCAGACGCTCAAAATGATGTCATGCGCATACGCGGAAACGGCGAAACGCGACCCGCACACGTACAGACGCGCAGCCGCATCTTACGTTTGCTTCAGGATGTGAACGGGGCTCCGGAACAGATCCCGTTCACATCCAGAGGTACCACTGTATTAAGAAACAATAAGAGCACAATTTAAAAACAACAACAACAACAGGAAATGATAGTGCAAGGCATAAGAAGTAAAACTAAAAATAGCAACTCCATTCAGCTACAGGGTAAAACCAGGTTTGAAAAAAACTAAAGTTAGCAGCTCTAAAAAGCCTGGGGAAAAGAGATGTTTTTGTTGGCAGCCACGAGGGTGCAACCAGCTGGACCTCCTAGGAAGGAACCACCATCAAGAAGACTCTCTCTCTCTCTCTCCCTGGACTCCACTTCCCATGGCAGGGCACCCAGAGAAAGGCCTCACATGATTATTTAAGTGAAAAGAGGTTTGGGAGAAGGCAGCCCAACAGGTACAGTATTTGGTCCCTAAGCTGCTTAAAGGTTAAGACCAACCCTTGGAACTGAAATCAGAAACATACCAGGAGACAATGGAGATGTTTCATTATGAGTTGGACTGGGACCAGGGAGTCTAGGTTTTGAATCCCCACTCAGCCATGAAGCTCATTGGGCAACCTTGGGCCAGTCGCCATCACTTAACCTTGTCAGTTTGCATTTCTTAGTGCAGAAAGTATTGATCTGATGTGTAGAGAACTTTCCTATTTTAATTAATTCAAGAGGGTTCTGGAAGCTTCTCTGTGTGAAAGAAACAAGCAGAAGGTTCATGGTGTTTGGGTTATTCCTTCAGAGAAGCTGAGTACAGATGGCTTAAACTGGTTCTCTTATCTCTTCTGACAAGGTCATGCTGACTATAATAAGAGGCCAGAAGGAGCCTTGGTTTTACTTTTCTCTTTCTATCTCTTTTCCTTCTGGTGTGGTGTTCTGTACATAGTACGCTATAGTGTTAAGGTTTAATCTTATTATAAGTTATTGTGAGTTTAAGTTAAGTCTGCTGCAACTGGATTTCTTATGGACAGTGCCTGTGTTTTTTTCTGGGGGGACGCATACCCCTAAACATTTTGTAAATCTAAATTTGGCCTCACTGAGGGGCAGTATTTCAATATGAGTAGGAAAATGAAAGTACAGTGGTACCTCGGGTTACATACGCTTCAGGTTACAGACTCCGCTAACCCAGAAATAGTGCTTCAGGTTAAGAACTTTTTTTAAAAAAATGATATTTATTAGAAGTTTAAAAATTACAGAAAAAGGAGGAAAAAAAAGAAAACAACAAAAAAAATTTAACAGGACATACATTACAATACATAGAGAAAATAAAACATAAAAAACAATACAACAATACAGCAAAAAAGAACAATAACATTAAAACACACATCCTTATTCCATATCTTTATCTTTCATTTACTTGTTTCATCGACCTCCTCACACCTCCCTTTTTGTATTCTAATTCAATTAATTGTTTCAGCAAATTCTTTCCATCTTTCTCAATTTTTATTCTATAATTTATCTTAACGGTCTAACCTATTAATTAACTCAGCAAATCCTTTCCATCTTTCACTGTATTCTGTCATTAAATTACCTTAATTTATTTTAACCTTATCTTACCATAAAAAGCCTTAAAACTTAAACTTAAAACTTAATACTTATTTATACATAACTCCATATCGTTTCTACTAAAGCCAAATATTTTCATTCCAACATTTTTCCTAGCACTCATTGATTTTACACTATTTCTCAAAATGAATTTTTAAAAAACTTTCTTCTAATCTTCATCCATCGTCTCTTCTTCCTGGTCTCGGGTTATGTCAGTCCTTTCTATCCATTCCATCTAGTCCATCAACCTGGTGATCTTCTATCCGAGGCTCTTAAGTCTTTTCCATGTCCCTTCTGCAGATCTTCTTCTTGTTTATACCTGCACTTTACTTTGTCTTTTGTTGATCTTTTTCTTAATTTCTTTCCTTTCTCATTGAGGAGTAGGTCTCGGGGAGACTCCAACCCAACAATATCTCCATCCCCCCTCAACAGGTCAGCCCACTCTCCACAGTCAGCACCGTAATCCAAAAAGTATTTGAAGGCATGTTTCAAAGTCCCTCCAAAGTTAAGAGCCCCCACAACTCCAGACCCCCCCCTGGCCCAAAGCCAAATCCCAAGAGCCGAAACGGCCCTGCATAGAGGGATCCATCCAACTTCCCATCTCCAAACCAAACAGTACTCCATCTCTCCAAATCTGACCCTCTCCAGGTTCAATCTTCAAAGACTGCAGCTTATGCTCCTGCAGGGCCTCAGGGCTCTCCATTTGTGTTAGTTGAGGTTCAACAACAGCCTCCTCCATTAGCTTCTGCATTTGCCCTGTCAAAGCAGATTCCTGGGTTGGTTCCTGAATGGTTTCTATATGCGTATTCACTGTTTGTCCAAAATTACTGACTGCAACAGTCATCAAATCCATCTTCTCATGCAGCTGCTCCAACAAAGCGCTTGTCTTGCAAAAAGCAAGCACCAAAACTTCTTCTAGGCACATTCTTGTCCAAGGTCAAAGTCTGGTCTCACGATCCTTAATCTCCACAGCTGTGGAATTCCCCAGATTGACTCCAGCAACAGTTTAACAAGCTCCCTCTAGAGGAGACAATTTCTATTTGTATCCATCTTTTAAAAGCAGGTCCAACAAAAGAAAGTTACTTTCGTTTTTCAAATATTTTGTTTCTTTTAAATGCAAAAGGCAACATTGGAATCAATATGTTTCTCTTTTTTAACTATCTGTCAAAAGACGTTTCATTCACAGTTAATGAACTTCCCCAAAACGTCTGTCTCTGACACCCCGTTCCCAGGTTTGAGACTGTGGAAATTTATCTTTCTTTGCTCTCTCTCCTGCAGGCTTAAACAATCTAAAATTCCCCCTCCTCTTCTCCTGCTTCCAAGAGGGGTTTTGGTAGTTTTAACTGAAGGAAATTTAGTCCTTTGTATACGACTTTCCAGACTTTAGCTTGCAAAATTTTGCTTCAATCTATTTACAAAAGCGGAAGGTGGACTTCCTGTTTAGAACCTTCCCGCTTCGGTACCAAATTAAAATATTTCGTAATCCAATTTTCCGTTCTACTCACAGGTAATTGTTTAGAATCCAATTGTCCACAGGAAAAAGTCAGCGCTCTCCAGCAACGGCTGTGCGGCTTCACTCCGTAAAAGTAGCGGTTGATTCAAAACACCGCGCCACTCACCCCACTTCGCTTTGGGACCCCGAAAAAGGGTTTCCCCGTGAGTAGGGGAGGCGCTCTTGATGTCAGCCGAATCCCACGTTCCCAGGCTTCCTCCGCCTGGGATTTTTGAAGGGTCTCCGCCTTCGCCGCGGTGGCAAGACCCGATTTTCGCGGAGCGGGTTCCTCTCGGTCAGAGGAACTCTGCCACTGCCGATGGCGCTAACCCGGAAGAACTTTGCTTCAGGATGAGAACAGAAATTGTGCTCCGGCGGCACGTGCTTTAGGTTAAGAACAGTTTCAGGTTAAGTATGGACCTCCGGAACGAATTAAGTACTTAACCCGAGGTACCACTGTACTCCTAAACATTTTTTAAGGGGAAAAAAAATCACTGGACAGTGTCAATCCTGATTGTATTGGATTTGTGACCATTATGCTCATTTGCCTTCAGTAGCAGTAAAGCTCTGCTGGATGAAATGCAATTGCCTCTGGTCTATTTTTTGGGAATCCTGCAACGAGTTTAAGTTTTTACTATGCTAACTATACATTGGAATCTGCTCTGGATCAATATCAATGGGGAGGAAGAGAACCAAGTACATCTCCTTGAGATCCTTGGAAGATAAATGGAATAAGTGAATAAATGAAAAACCAGCCTTTAGCTGCAGTGCTCTGGGACGAGCTGCCGTTTCTGGATTGCCTTCAATGGCAGATCCACATCAACCTCTTTGCAGATCTGCAACTTGGAAACACCAGGGCATAGATAACTGTGGCCAGACTAGCTCTGCCCAGGTCAGGGTTGCAGTCAGCATGTAAGTCTTGACGGACTGAAGGTCCTTTGTGCCAAGACTACTTGAGTTTTAATTCATAGTGATTAACTGAAATGCAGTCTCAGAATGAATACCCAGTCCTTTAGGGAAGTGCAGTGATCTCTGAAGCTGATCGCTCAAGTCCATTAGGACTCTCCAGGACCTTTTCCACACTTCTTCTGCCTCACCTGACTTAGCTGGAAAGGACAAATAAGAGTGTTGACATTTCCAGTCCACCTTAAGAAGCAGACATGTGGAATTGTTGCGTGTCACATGTCTGTTTACATTCCAGCACAGCTTGCTGGGAACTTCCGTTGTGTATAGCTTTTGTTTTTGCTGTTCTCTCTGAGATACGACATGTTTCTTTGTTCTGATTTATGTTTAATAAATCTGTAGCTGTAGCATGACTTCACAAGCCTCACGCCTATTTTGTGTGCACAGTACACTCTGCTAATAGTGTGCCCTGGCTTTTGAAGTCCAGGTCACTGATTTACGTCGGAGCACGGGCCGATGGATGGAGACAGCACAGCTGGGGCTTGCCAGCTGGCCTCCTGGCCCTCTGCATGTCAACATCAAACAGTCATCATCATCATCATCAGTGTCATCTTCAGTGTATCAGCAACAGTTTTTTAAACTAGCATGAGTCTACAAAATGAGGCAGCGGCATGCCACTCTACCTGAAGGCACCAGTGTGCTAAACACCTCCATACCATCCAACATTTCTCTGATGAAAATAGGGACGTCCTATTTAATAATGGAACGTGGGTGGCGCTGTGGTCATGCTGGCCACATGACCC